AAATCTGCATATAACGGCTTTAATGTACACTAATGTGCACTAGTACGTTCAACTGAATTCGCTATTAGTTTCATATGTAATGAGCGAAAAAAAAGATAGAATAAAGATTACAGCGTGTCGAGCGCCCCGAATGAATGTCCCTTATGTCTACGAGTGCCTTAGTACATTCCTAAGCGTCGAGCGGCATTTGGATTGCGCGCGGGGCGGTGCGGTGAGGGGAATAGCGGGAGGCGGAGCCGACTCGAAAATCGGCCGAAATGTGCATTTTGTGCTGAGCCCTGTCTTATAACATTAACAGAATATATTACTTACCATTTTGCGCACGTAAAATATCTTCCGGAGATAGAGTAACATCAACTGTAATGTCTCTTTCCGGATCATATAAAGAAACTTTTTCCATTATTGTTACAAATTCGCTAAAGCCGGGAACACAAAACAAAATATCCGCGCAAAAGATAACAGACGACGAAACGACCACGCTGACCCACGTACGAACCACGAGCGTCGCTAGCTCGATGCGGTCGTGATTAATGACGTCATATATGACGTTCTGATCACGACCACAACGAACGCGGTCGTTATGTGGAATGGGTTTGTGGGCGTCGCGAGCGTTGCGGGCGTTTAGTGGAACGCACCCCCTGTCGGCTTGGAGGGCGAGCACGCAGACGAGTACACACACGAGCGCGCGTGCGAGCGCACCTGCGAACGAGCGTTAAAACCGCGTCATCTATGTTACTCTACAAATTTTCTTCTTTTTGTGTTAGCATTTCTTTTGCATAATAACCGAGTTTATCAGAAAGCGTTGACGCGCCACGGATCACGCTTGGCAGCTGCTGTAAAATAATATTGTATCATCGTGCCGTCTCACCCGCCACCCTTGGAAGGAAGATCGAAGAAGCTGAGAGAGAAGAACGCACATCCGGGAGCTCGGACAAGCAGGTTGTATTATTTTATATCATTGCTCGTAACCGCTGTCGCATACGAAAGGAACCATAATTTCACCATGCATCCTTTGCAGAGCACCGGAGGAAGCCAGAATTCCCGACCACCCTTGAGGGGCTGGACGGACGTCCGTCGGGAGCATAGGACCCCGACGAGGAGCGAGAGGAAAATCCATCCCAATCTCCTCCGCCAGGCCAGGAGGTGCGGGGGCCGTAAGCGGAGACGCCACCCTTGACAGGGACATCTATTGCGCGCTTGTACGAGCTAGGACTCAAGGCCGCGCGGGCCTGCACGGCACGCACGGATACCGTGACACGCGAAAGCCAATCAGCGTGACTACTTCCCCCCGATGGAGGGGGGAAGCTAAGCAGCCTGCGAAAATCCACCGGGAGCTCCTGGGACTCACTCTTACTGTGGCCGAGCTTAGGAGATGTAAGAGAAGTACGAGGCCGCTGCCGGCAGGGAACGCGAACCTGAGAGCCGGACTGCCGAGAG